GCGAAGGACGTTGTAGAATTCTGCACCGTAACCTATTATTGCCAATAGTATCATTGTAGATATCGTTTTTTTTTTAAGCCATAAACTTCATTGTTGAATGACGCGGACGTTATTCTGCAACAAGCGGGAGGTTGTAGTAGTGTGTATTATATGCGTACTTAATAAATAAGTGTTTTAAATGTCATGTAAATAAATTAAACTACCATAATAGATAAAGAGTATAAAAAGCTTGATCTGCTCCTTTATATCCTTAGCCCTTAACCTGTACACCTATACATAGATAATTAGTTACTTTAGGGCAGTTCAGAGGTTTTGGAGTGTTGTATTGATTCTTATTGGTTGTTTGGATGTGAAGTTGGATTTCATTGTTTTTATACTTATGGTCATTGATTTTACTGCCAAAATATTCTTTCTTTGTATTCTTGAGAAATGACCAAGACTGTTTTTAATGGACTCCATGACTTTGACCTTTGGAAACTGACAATTTCCATTTTCTGGTAAGTACTAACTTTCGTTATTACTCACTGTCAAGTAATATGTCTATTCCATAGATTTGCATTTATTTTAGATCCAAATCTCACTTCATATTAATTGAGAGAAAGATGTTATTTTAATGATTGGAATTATTGATTGTAAAGATCATGAATGTATAATGTTATAAGTGTAAATTGTTATTTTCAAGTTACACCATCTATTTTTATGACCCAGATATATGATATCTTTGTTCAAAGTGAACAGATGATTTTATTTTGAAGGGATATATATATTATATATATATATATATATATATGTATATATATACTGTATTAAAGTACAGAGTCCATATACATGTCATTGCAACTGTAAACATCACACATTCATGGGGTAGCCTTTTCCCACAGAATGGTGAGGAATTATTTGTTTTAATTAGTACTATTTTATAATTTTTATACCTTTATAGAAAATATATAATCATCCATATATTGACTATAAGAGTTATTGAGAGTAAATGTACATATATGTATATCATCTATAATATATCATTATGAATGTGTTATTATGAGAGCTACATGTATAGATGATTTATAGGATTGAATTGATGTGCTATTATATTGTTGTTTTATTATATTTCTGGGCTGTTAACATTTGTATTGCTCATTGTGTCAAATAAATCAGACCTGAACCCTGACAGAGGAGTGTTTGTTTTATTCATCACCACCCCCTGTTACAGAATTGAGGCGGTCTGCCTTGATAGCGACAATTGATCGCATTTAAAACGGCAAAAAAGAGAAATATTGACGAGATTTGTAAACAACTATGTGAAGGAATTCATAATAAAATGGAATTCAAACTTCCAAATGTTAAAATAAGATGTACCGGTAATCAGAAACGTTTTAAAAATAGCAAACGTATTTGACTGACCATTTAACAGATCTATGGAACGTGACACGGGAAACAAAAATGATTTCATACGATATAAAGGGGAAAGAAAAGTCAAATATGCTCTAAGACGGGAATATATCGAAGCACGAGATTTATTTGATAAAACTCTTAAACGCGCTAAACGCACCTACAAGAAATCATTTGCTAATGTTATAGAAGATATGAGATCGACAAATCCAAATGAATTCTGGAGTAAAATCAAAACCTTGGCCCTAGAAATAAACACAATATACCAACATACCAATGGAGGTTTTGGATGCTGAAGGAAATATAATATTCAAGGAACGGGTAACCTTGGGAGGATGGGGAGTTAATTTTAAAAATCTGTACAACGGGTGTGGAAGTACCGATTTCGATAACGTTATCTACACTTGCTCAAGTCTCTATGTTTTTATTGTTTAATTTTCATAAATAGTTTTATAAATTCTTTTTTTTTTATTTGTATTGCTGTCCCCTGCTCTCTGTCATAGTTAAATGGTTATCAAACATAGAAGAAGCGGAATTTGTTTCCATGTGAATGTCAGACTGGATCTGAAGATATAGACCAACATTTTCAACTTTTCTCTGAGACTGATGAGTACAAGGTCTGTTTTTTTTTTAAATCTTTTTAAATTTAGAATAATTTATTAGACTTACAATAATCAATACACATTCAGAACATTGATTTTTTAAATTGAAAAACTGGGCCCACTAGGCATTCAAAATTTGAACATAAACAAGTTTTATGTGTTTTTCATATTCTTTTTATAATTTAACTCAACTTGCTATTTTAATTCTTTAAACTTTTTTAGGAAAATAAAGATTCTTCTCAAAACCGTGATGCAAAGCTTGTCCAGTTATTAGAATGTGGAAACATAAAGGAATTTTCAGAAGAAATTTTCCAAATTCCGAATGTCCTTGAATGTCTAAAAAATAAAATTTACCAAATACTACAATCAAAAATAAGAAATATTGTTTCAAAGGGCTTCAATTCTGTGCTTAGAAGAAAAGATAAGCAGGCTGTGAAGTCATTTTTCTTAGAAAAAGAAGTAAAAGAATGGCAGAAAGAAGCCCCAGTATTCCTCGAAATCCTGGAAACAATAGTGTCAAATCCATCACAAACAAGAAACAAGTGTAAAAAAGATGACGCTTAACTGCCAGGTATTGTGTCAGTGGGATCAAAGTTACAGAGTATCCATAATCAAGAGCTTAGTCTCTTTCAACACATTAATAGCATCATATTGCTGAAAGGAGGCTGTAAAAAGTCTGCTTTTAGAAAGTTAAATTCTACTTTTGATTGCTTGTCATATCCAGCAACTTTAGCATTAGCAGATCGCTATGGGGCAGACTGGGATCAAAATATCAGAAGTTGGCAAGTTTCTGTTGAACAGGGTAGAGAAACTGAAGATCAATTAATGAACAGTGTGCATGTTTATGAAGAATTAGTAAGAAAACATCAGGATGTTGATAAAGACCCTGAGTTCACACTTGCATTATCTAGTGCCAGACAAGAACTACAGCAACATCGAAAAATTATGCACCCAGGATACTATTTTGTTGGTGACAATGTAGATCTGAGAACAAAAGTTAGGAATATGACCATTACCAACCAAAAGAAAGATCAGCACATGTTCCAGATTTGTGCCTATAAAAATCGAGTTTCTAGAAACCATCTCGATAACGGTGGACCCAAGACCAACATTTACACATACAATTTCAAGAACTTCATACCGGGTGAACATGAGAAAAAATGTTTTTTTTTTATCTGAAGCAGCTTTCTTAGTGGCACAACAATGGTCAAAGTACATTCCTCATTTTTGGCAATACATTAATGTTCTGCCAAAATACATCAGTCATGAGTATCTCAGAGAAATGAAAACTCGAACCAACAGGGCAAGTTAATTTTTCTACATTTTCTTTTAGCAATTTTATTACTTACATGGGGGAAAAGATAAATAATTTCAAAGAAATATATTTTCTCTCAAGATAAAATGGTATAAAAATAAAATTTCAGCATAGAAAAAGTTTTAATTGTGTGCAATGAACCATGTATTTTCCAGATCAACCTGGGAGTAATTATGAAATGTGAGCAGTACAATGAAGATATGATAGATATTTGTGAATTTCTACACACTTTCGTTCCTGGGCATGAAACAAATGATAACTGGCAGAAGAAACCTGACAAAGTATTAAGTGGGGGTGACTACATCACATTTGAGTGCCACAAGCAAGCCCAATCGTCAAAACGAAATGGCCGTACCCCGTCTAAGCGTTTGCAGGGCCTAATTCCAAAAATGGAAGAGTTTCATAACCAAGCTGAATTGCTAAAGGTAAAATTCAGTTTCATCCCTTATCTTGTACATTTATTTTGTTTAATAGACATTTAAAGTATGACATATATATTATTTATTATTAAATGCATTGTATTATTTTTAATTAGGTTATATGGACACTACTATATAACACCAGTTCTGTCCGCAACCAAGGAACTTTGTATGCTGCAAGAAATACTTTGAACTCGAGGAATGTCACTCAACATTCGCCTCAAGACTTTTATGCCTGTTCTGACCTGGTAGAAAAAGTCACATTAGCCTACATAGTTAATGGAGGTCTTGAATACTTTGGAATGGACACCTTGAACACGGTCCCAACCAAAAATATGTATAGCGGTGCTATTGGCAACAAGAAAGAGATGTGTGAATATATTTTAGACCATGCATCTGAATTTGCAAAGCAGTTCTGTGTTCCTGACACACCACTTTTACCAGAGTATGGTCCCAAATCATTATCTTTGATATGTCGTTACTGCAAAAAGGAATATAAGCGCCCGAAATCTCTACGAAAGCATGAGGCGATGGTTCATGGTCATCCGGATCCATTGTATGGAGATGCTAATATTACAGAAATTACGACACAGACCTCAGAAGATGGAGTATTCAACTATACACGATTAATGTTGAATCTGTTGCTACTTAGAATGAACCACAACGATGCCATTCGTATGGGAGATGGTGAGCGTATAATGCGAATAAATCAGTTTCTTGTCCTGTTTTACAAAGCTTGCAACTGTCCGAAGTATGCTTATGGGCTTTTAGAGACAATAGCTCAGACAAACGTGCTTTTGACGGAAAGGATGGCACATAGATTGATATGGAATCGAACTGTCAATCACCGAGGAGATTTCGATTCAAATCATCCAAATGATCTAGATATAGAACCCTGCAACAAGGTTTTCAAGGATGAAGAACATAGTTTCAGGGGTGTTTTTACAGAGAAAACAGTGTCCAGAGTAAGCCGAAGTGCACTTTCATTACAATCTGTTGTACCATGCTTTGATACAAACTGCCATGTGAAAAAAGCAACATCTAAACACACAGCAGCAGATTTCACTGAGGATATTTTGAAATTAGTTGAACAGTATCAAAAACTTGACCTCTTTTCCATTATACCTGGAAGACAACATGATCCTTCATTCCAAAAGTCAAAAAATCCCCTTTTCCAACTAGATATGGATGATGTGCGCAACTGGATTTCAGGTTCGCTTTCAGATTATAACAGGAAACATTTTTATGGATAAAATGTACCGTAGTTAAAATGGATCAGTCTTCATCAGATGAATAGTTTAGAACTGGTTTTGTAGACAAATATCTAATATATTCACTGTCATCAGATAATCCTTCATCTGATGTCTGACTATCGTCTGAGTCCTCTTCATTCGTCAAAAGAATTCGTTCAAATATTTTAGATTTAACACTATTACATGGTTCCTCACATGAACATTCATCTGTGCATTTGCATGAACATGAACAGTTTTTCCTGTAGTTATCACAGCAGTTGTGCATCGGAGATTTTGGTTCTGGTTTATTTTCAAACATTTTAACAAACACTGTCTTCGACACAGAATGGACTTTGTGTATTCCTTCATTTGAGGAATTATATTACGACTACCCAAGGATCTTTTATACAACATGAGTATTGCATGACTTTGAATAAGTGGATCTCTACCAGCACGTCCAGTCTCCTGAAGGTAGTCGTCAATATCATTGGCAGGACCATAATGGACAACTGTGTCAACTGCCTTAACATCCAGGCCCATGCCAAAGGATGTTGAACAAAGAACTACCCGAATATCACCAGTCGGATCCTGATATGACGAACAGATAGATTCTTTTACATCATCACGGTCGTCATTAGGGCCATCTTCCTGATAATTGACATATGATGCCTTGCCTAGTGATTCCTCCAGGAGCTCATAAACTTCTGATATATGCTTAATTTGCCTAAAGAATATGATCATTCTTGTTGTGTTTTCCTTGTTTGCTTTGAGCTCTTCAACAAGCCATTTAAAATTTTTCCTAATGCTACTGTGCTGTAACTTGATGCACCAATATGTAATATTCAGCTTGTTTGGACTGACAATTATTTCTTCAACTTTTTTCATTGATAAACTTTTGTAGATGTGTTCTTTTGTTTCAATGGTAGCTGTTGCTGTTAATGCTATCACTGGAACATTTTCTCCTGTGAGAGATCTTATTTCTCCTAGTTTTCCATAAAATGGACGGTATGCTGGTTTTTTTCTTTTTATCTTCACCGCTGCATGAAAAACAAAAGATATTGTATTATTTCACATGTATGTCATTGTGTTTGTGAGGTGTGTTTGTGATTTGGGAGGTTAAGGAATTGATTTTATTTACTTACATACAAAATAAGAAAAGAGGAGAGCTGTTATAATAATTCACAATTTTTAATACTTTTCTTCTACAATCATTTAGAAGTATTTATATAAAGATTCTGTACTTACAATTTCTTAATGCAATGAGCTTCATCCACAAAAATAGCTTTAATAAAGTTTCTGTTTGCCAAATCCTCTGTAATTTTTCTTTGTGTTCCAAATATTGATTCTGGACTCGCAAAGATAATTGTAGGATCAGCAAACTCTCCGCCTAATTCACTCAGGTGATGTGCACTAAGTCCTTTCTTTTGCAATGCATCTACCTGACTTCTTATAAGAGAGGTCAGAGGGGAAATAACCAACACAATTGTTTTATCATGAGCTGAACTTAATGCTTTGAACAAAAACGGTGCCAGCTCAAATGTTAATGATTTACCACTTCCAGTAGGTGAACAGAAGAAAACATCCTTTTTCTTCAAATATGCTTCTATAACTTTCTTCTGGTTTAGTTTTAATTCACTAATAGACAATTGTTTTAATCCATTAGATATTGCTTGGGATATTTTTTTCTGTGTTCATTTTACAAAAATGTGTGTAAAATTTGTACAACTTTGTAACATTTAGGAAATCCCCCATAACCATTCATCACCCGTCAACTTATCAGCGATTCTCCAGCAGCACACTGCAGTGCCGTAATATGATCCCGTTACCGACCATATTCTGGTCGGTGAAATTTCAGGGTTTAAAAGTTTCTATGTTTGACATTATCAAAAAGTATGAAAGAGAGCACTAAAACAGAGAGACTTGAGCAAGTCTAAATTTTCCCCTTTGTGCGTCACAGTGCCGCTTTAAAACAATTAAATGATAAAAAACAATAATTAAATTATAAAAGCTGTTAAAGTACTTGCAAAGACTTTAAAAATTTGATTCACTATAGTACAAACTTTGGAACTTTGATTCACCATTGTTAAAACTTTGGAACTTTGAATAACTATGATATAAAAGTTGGAACTTTGAATAACTATGATATAAAAGTTGGAACTTTGAATAACTATGAGATAAACTTTGGAACTTTGATTTGCTATAGTTAAACTTTTGGAACTTTGATTTACTATCGTGAAAACGTTGGAAATTTTATATTATTTACAAAAATTAAATAGTTATTTTTTGTTAGGGGTCTTGGAAAGCTTTTAGGTTCATCCTGAATACTATTTAGGTATGTTATAGAATTATAAATTTCTGATAATTGCATTAAATAGAACCTTACCTCTTATCTCAGAAGGTTCCATATAACATTGAAAAGAGCTGTCTTCCTCTTTCTTTTCCGAAGGAATATTTTGTTCTATTGTTTTAATAAAAGATGTTAAAATTATTTTTTAAATAGTTTTATAGGAATAATCATATTGATTGCAGATAGTTTGTAAATTTCTCATATAGCACAATGACATAATATCAATATACTACTATGTTAATGAAAGGGGTGATAAAAAAAAATCGCAAACTAATTAAATAACATTAATAAAAATTATCGAAAAGTATTTTAATCTTCACTTTGTTCTTTTTTATTGATATTTTTTGTAGATGAATAACGTCAGTCAGCATTTTACTCAATGATAAATTGTATTTGCTGACATGTATCGACCAAAGAACTTACGAAATGATAACTTAAAACGAAAATGCTGATATTATTGCTTCATCAACTTGCTTGTCAATAAATTACCCACTTTCCAAAATTGTTCATACGTAGAGCAAGCTCTCGCGTATCGAATCAACTGAGATATATATACTCCGTATGCAGGTGATAAAGGTATATTGCTGCATAAGTAAGGGAAGTTGACGATAGAAAAGTTCAAGTCATCACGTTTGTCATATAGCTTGGTTGTTAGATTACCGTTAGTGTATTTTTAAGTAAAATATAAATCTGCTGACATAAGTGTTTTGCGAATTAAAATTACATGAGACCGGTCGTACACAATTATGTAAAGATTATTCCAATTTTTCAATTAACTCCTTAATTTAGCTTTCAGGCTTGTCACTAAAAAGATATCATATACCAAAGAGGGTAGTCATAAAGTGATTAATAACGTCTGCATTGCATGTCATTCATAATGCTCTACTCATTGTTTATTCTGAATAATGGTTTCTGCAGTGAGTAAAATAGTTGAACGGTTTCTACTTAAACTGTCCATCATGACAAAAGACAAATCAAGAAGTATATGCGGTAATTCAAGGATGACTATGTGGTTTGTGTGACTAATGGGAAGACTACCACTTTGTTACAGATTTCTCATATAATTGTGGTGATTAAGTATACATAATCATGCAACTATGTTTTTAAAGATGTGTAGAAGTTTGAAGCAAAAACCACTTTTCTCTGATATGTCATAATATTTACCTTCAGAAAAAGAACGACTTTTATTCACAGTGTATTTATTATCCCTTGTCTTTGAATCTTTTGAATCTGAAATTGAAATTTAAACTTGTGGGGTATAAAGATATACATAGATTACCCTAGATAAAAATCGCACAATGTCATGGAACTGAAGTTTCAACATTTTGTACAGAAAAGTTCCAGTAATGAGAATTACATTTTCAACAACTCACTACAGCTTTCATTATTAAAGTTTGAAAAATAGTTCAAATTCTGCGGTTTGATTTAAAGCAGAAGTAAAAGATACCCATATTTTTGGTAAAAACCTGAAAAAAAGCTATTTCATTTATTGAGTTTTCTTGTGAGCCATGTTAAATAATGTTATGATTATTGATTTTGGAAGCTATTATTCCATTTCTGTGAAAAATAAAAGTAAAAAGTATCTAAATTTACAAAGTAACTTTTTTATTGATTTTGTTGATCTATTAATCGGTTTAATTACCTGTTTATGCCCTATGAATATATATGAAAATTAAAACTGTGTTTAAAAACAAAAATCAGAAATGTTTTAATAAAAACAATATTTTAAAGCTACATTTACTCATATTTGGACAGTAAGGTATTTATTAATTTTCTCTTTACATGTAAATATGAAATATATTCATCATTTTTGGCCCTTGTCACTTCCAGCTTCCTTCAACCTGTTATACTATTTTTTGTATTATCTTACTGATTTAAAAACTTAATAAAGAAACTCCAAAAAAGCTTCAAATATGATTTGTTTTCATAACATTTTCAGGGATTGTTCCCTCTCGCTCTATCGAAAATTATCAGCTGTTTTGAGTACTTCCTGTGAAACTAAACATGAAAAAATGAACCAGGAGCTTTTTATGATTAAATAAGATTGATCTCCCGAGTGTCTATAAATGAATCTTAAACATTTTGTCTCTTTCTTTAATTTATTCTTCATAAAAATCTAACCCAATCAAGATTTTTTTGTTTAAATTTAATTAGAATTCAGAAGGAAGACATTGTTGCTTTCTACGATATTTCGTTCTGTTTTTATTATAATTAAATACATGAAAAAGTTCATGAATAATTCTTAAAATAGAATAGGCTGATATGAGTATTATTTTAAGAATTAGGCAATTTACGGTAAATTTTCATTAATGACAATCATTTTTATATCCAGACGCACACATTATACTAAGTCGCTTTTTTGTGTTAACATTTTCCGTGAACAAATTCTGATCAACGAACACTATTAGTAGATTTGATAGCAGACCGTTTGACGAAGTTAATTGTATTACCTGTTCTGTATTTATAAACCTAACAGAATCTGGTTTTTTTGCATAACTATGCATGGTTTTTTCATACTTATGACCAAAAAAAAAAATCAAATTTTGTTCACTTTTTTATTATTTTTTATTTCAAATTTATTCTGCATATATATATTAGGCAAATGAAAATAAATAACCATGCAACAAGATTTTTGGAAATGTGCAGAAATTGATAACCAAGACCACTTTTCTCTGTGGAATGTCTTAATATTTACCTCTGGAATAACGTGCACGATGAACATCCCTTTCTGGTGTTGCTGAAATTGAAATAAAAAAGATACGTGGTATATAATATACATACCCAAGATAAATATATATTATTATAACAGTAACTTGATCCGAAGGGTCGTATCACGTCGAGTTGACAGGCGTGGATCATCAGATGGCTATGGAAATAACGAACAGTATTCAATCTCAACGTCCATTAAACAAATATACAAAATAAGAGCAGAGCAAACACGGACCTCCGAAACATCAGAGGCGGGATCAGGTGCCATGGAGGAGTGAGCATCCCCTGCCGACCGGTCACACCCGCCGTGTGCTCGTTGTCATAATCAGGAAATAACGGGAAAAAATCCTTGGTCAATTCAGTGTATAAATAATGGACTAACAATTGGTATGAAAAACGTTCGTCAGCATTTCATTCAATGATAAATTGTATTTGCTGACAAGGTCATTGTATCGACCATAGAATTTACGAAATGATGACTTTAAACGAGACTGTTGATATTATTGTTTCTTCAACTTGCTTGTCAATAATTTACCTCGTTTAAGAAATTGTTCATACGAAGAGCATGCTCTTGCGTATCGAATCAACTGAGATATAAATACTCCGTATGCAGGTGATGAAGGTATATTGCTGCATAAGTAAGGGAAGTTGACGATAGAAAAGTTAAAGTCATCACGTTTATCATATAGCTTGGTTGTTAAAATATCCAAGTATGAAGCAGAAGTGTCAGACTCTGTGGTATCTTTTATCTCAAGCTCACCAGGATATATCGTGTCGACGTAGGAATGAAAATTATCATTATTAATTGACAATACGTTGTCGATATATCTAAATGTCGAGTTGAAGGCCACAGCAAGTGATTTTTTCTTTTCACGCAAAAGATTTTGCATAAATTCTGCTTCATATGAATATAAAAATAAGTCTGCTAATAACGGAGCGCAATTTGTACCCATGGGAATTCCAATAGATTGTTGGAATACCTGGTCTCCAAAAACCACATAGATATTGTCAATCAGAAACTCAAGCATCTTCTTGATGTCAACTTCAGAGTACTTTTGTGATCTAACGAGACGCGAAGCATCGAGTTTGATCTGATGATCCGCGCCTGTCAACAAGACGTGATACGGCTCTTCGGATCAAGATACTGTTATAATGATAAATTTATTATATACCCCCTCGTACCTAGCAAAATATATCAAAAGAAAACTTTAGAGATAAATTGCATAACATTTATCCATAAAATAAAACATAATAACAGGGGACTTTTTAACGTGCAAGAAAAATAACGTCATATTTCTGCGTACTACGTCATCAGTTTCAGAGAGTGGTGATATGGATTCAGAAAACAACATGTTGGTGATCCGGAAAATCGGATCACGACGTCACGTGATAGCATAAATTCAACAGTAAAATTCGATGATACACATTAGGTATATAATAAATCTGCGTAATGTCATGTAATTGAAGCTTAAACACTACTAACAAAATTTTTTCAGTAATAAATATTACAGTTTCATCTGACAAGTTATTATTATTGGATTAAAGTAAGAAAAGTGCATAGTTTAAAATCCTACGGTTAAATTTCAGAAAGACATAAAATATACAAATTTTTGTAACTGAAAAAATATTATATTTATTAACGTTTATTGTGTTACCTCTCATACAATGTTATCAATATTGTACTTTGGAAGCTATTATTCTATTTGTGTGATAAATCAATGAGAAAAATCGACATTTAACATGTACCTATTTGCTTTTTTTTAAATTTTCTTCTTCTTATAAATTTATGTTTTCGCCCTATGAATATATACACAACGTCATGCAATATCAAAGACTTATTCAGAAAAAAAAACCATCTGAAAAAAAAGTTAAAAGCTTTACTTATAATATAAAGGATGCTAGGCAGGTCAACGGAGTGCACTAACTCATTTGGTTATCAGATCCGTCAGCTGTCGACATGGATTCTGCTAAGAAAAAAACTGTTACATGCCCAATAACTGATGAGATTGAGAAGACTGCAAACGGTTTAGAACTAATAATTTACAATGACAGACAGAAAATTAGCCCTGCGAAAAAGAAATGGACAAATATAAGAGAGAATGCAGAAAGCCAAAGTCCAACAAATACAACAGCATAACTGTGACGGATGAAGAACCTTACTTACCACCATATCCACCCCATGCAGAAGCCAAAGTCCATTTCTAAATATCATCAAGTCAGACTGAATGATGCCAAGCTGTCAAGAAAATTTAAACCTCAAAATTTTTAAAGTGTTATTTTCAAGAAAGTTCCAGAAGAGAAAAACAGAGTATGTGTTTGGCGTTTATTTAGAGGCATGCTGCAAAATATCAAATATGAAATGCCGTAGAAGCCTTTCAGCAATCCATGAAGGATTTTAAACTAGGAAACAGGGTCATGGTTTTACATTTTTTTTCTGGTCAAGTATCCTTGTCAATATCAAGAATCCATCGTTCAGATCGATAATCTCTGGAATATAAGTTTTGTTTAGCAGTAGGTGCTGGCACGAAAAAGATCCCTCACTGCTCAAAGGCCCTGAGTGCCGAGCATAGGATAAAATTTGTGACGTCTTCATATGAGTGAAAAATTCTCGAGAGGGGGGGGGGGTTAAACAACATACAATCAATAAATCAATCAATCAAAGAACATCCTACCCCGTGCCCTTATTCATGTAATTTTTGTTTAAGGGACATTGAAGGTCCTGAAGATGAGAACCACATTTACTGACATCAATGCAAGGGATATTTTGAAAATAGAGGTTGCTACCAAAATCATTTACGGAACCTCGGGAAGACTACAGTCACCACCATGTGAGATCCTGGTGACCATTGCTTTGTAATTTTCCTTACATCAATACTGTTAAAGGGCGAGAGTGAGGGATGAATTTATTCATTGTCGCTTTAGAAGGATATGGAGATAACAAACGGTATTCAATCTCAAAGTCCATTTAACAATATACAAAATAAAAGCAGAGCAAACACGGACCTCCGAAACATCAGAGGTTGGACCAGGAGCCATGGAGGGGTGAGCATCCCCTGCTGACCGATCACACCCGCCATGTGATCGTTGTCATGATCATAAAATAACGAAAAAAAAATCTGTTGTCAATTAAGTGTATAGATAATAAACTAACAATTCGTATAAAACGTCAGTCAGCATTAGACTCATTGATAAATTGTACAGTATTTGCTCACAATGTCATTGTATCGACCATAGAACGTACAAAACGATGACTTTAAACGATATTGCAGATATTTTGTTTCATCAGCTTTGATATGAACGTTAACTGAAATTAAACCTCACTAATATACAGGCTCGAGGAATGTCACATTTATTCAGACTAATTCTTACAAAGCACTTTTATTACTCGCAGACACGTATGTTGCTTGCGCTACGTGTTTGTACCGACTAGTGTTTGTTGTATTTAGCAATGCAGTTAAGGTGTGCAATGGAAATATCGACTAAATTTTGCATTTAAAAATGTATTCGTAATCGGGATGGCGATTATTTTTAGTACATTATCTAAATCGAATAATTATAATTATGATTAATTACTACATATCGAGGACGATTACGTTTTATAGTTAGACTAATCACGTGATGTGGAAGTCACGCGATTTAAGCACATTGACTTGCAGTATTGATGTCACATATAAATATCAATTTTAATTTTCCAAGTTAAGTATATAAATATTTTCAACACACATTGTAGTTTATAAAAAGTGCTGCGACCCTGTCTAAATTCTGCAATTTCATTGTTAAAATTACACATGTATGACCGAATGCTATGACGTCGCACATAGTATTGGGGAAAGAAATTGCGTAACTTGTAACACTGTAAACGACGGGCGTTGGTATTTTTGGTCATTTTATCGTTTTGGCTAGATGGATTTTTCTGGCAATTTGTAAGAAGCTTCTATAACTTCCTGTGATGATGTCACCCAACATTCATTAATGAATTTCTAATTTACGGACTGTTCCGACTGTTCGTAAAATAAGAAGCGTTCCGTAACATTCCGTAATCTTGACAAGTTACAAGAAAAGATAGAGTGTTTGATAAAGAATTTTTACTATATAACAGGTTCATTTTGTAAAACTAAGTTGATAAATGAAATGTGCAAATCAAGAAGTTGTCAAATGTTTCTTTAAATAATTATAAGCAATCAGTATGGAAGATTAATAGAGCAATTTTGATATCTAGTTAGTTTTGTTACTACGACACAAATACGCGTTTTATGGTATTTAACAGGGCGTATGACACCAATGTGAGCTGTATTCTTTATTAACTGGGAAACTTTTTCAGATATAACATTTATTTTCAAAATGTGCAAATAAATAAAATTTTGTTTAAAAAGAAACAATAAAAAGTAAAACATTTTTCAGAAAACCGGGGCGTAAATTGAATGTCTAGTCTGATTTGTTACGCCTTCAATTTTTGACGTTTTTTACGCTTAAACGACATATGCAATAACGTCAGAAAAATATATTTTGACGTTACAAAATCAGCCCCAATTCTGTGTGCGACGTCAAATAATTTTTTGCTTGTCAGCGGCATGAAATATTGATATAATTAAATTGTTTTTTTTTAGAATTTATCAGGATCGCAGCACTTTTCAGATACCTTAATAGCTCAAGAGTTGAAATGTAAAAGCTTACTTTTATCCATTGAGTGTATGCCCTTCCACTAGATCAATTTATTAAGACCCCCAACATTACCTTCCGATGTACTTGCATACAAATATACGACAGTGGCAATGAAATCTGACCCCTCATTTGATATAAAAATCAGAACACTGGTAAAATTATGATAGTTTGTAGTTAAGAAGTTAAAATTATGCCTACTTCAAAACGAACACTAATTTGGATTTAAAGCTTGCATGGAAGACACAAGAGGGTGCAGAAATAGGACATTTTCCCGAATTTCCTCAATTCTAGTGAAGTTTCATCATATTTGAAAAACATTTCTTTTTGGAAAACATAGAGCACAAGCTTGCCTATCTGAGATTTTTTACACATAAACTGCATCTTATATCAGTGTATAGAATTTTTAAATTTGGTAGATAGGCAAGCGTGTGCTCTTTGTTTTCCGAAAGTAAATGTGCTGTAAAATTAATGAAAATTTGCATTAAAATGAGAAATTACGAAAATTGGCCTATTTCCTGACCTCACTGTGACCCCTGTACATACGAAATCTTAAACCAGCACTCATTTTGTGGTAACGGTGACAACAGGTTTTTATGGATAAAATGTTCTGAAAGACAACCAAAACCGGGAACCAAATACTGTTCTTATCATAATTTGTCCTTTATTGTATTCATACCCTATTTGATCTAAAACAGTATACATGTAGGACACAGTTATTGTTATAAGAAAATATATTTTATTCTGTATCTGATGTTTAAAACTTTTCTTGTAATTTTATTCTGCCCTTTCGCATCCTTTTACCATTGAAAATATTTATAGTACTTTTTCTGGGACAGTAGAGTAAAAAGACTGCAAATGGCCTAGGCATGCTTTGAATACATGTACCTTCATCACCTTGGCACAACATTAAAACACATCACTGTAGCAACCTCTAATGATAAAACGTCGCTTAATGATAAAAATAGCATTACGCGTTGCAATTGCAACGCTAAATGCTATAATTTATTGCATTAATAGCTGGCATTCTCTACCGCTAATGCTAAATTGCCACTTAATGATAGAATTTTATCATTAAGCGTCACAATTCAGAATAACACTGACGCTTGATGAAACAAGCAAATATCGACATAGCCGACGACAAATGATACACACTAGTATATCATTAAGCGTTGCAGCTGCAACCTTTAATGCCATACGATTTACAAATATGAAGAAGGATATGGAAATAACGAACAGTATTCAATCTCATCGTCCATTAAACAAATGTACAAAATAAGAGCAGAGCAAACACGGACCTCCGAAACATCGGAGGTGGGATCAGGTGCCATGGAGGAGTGAGCATCCCCTGCCGACCGGTCACACCCGCCGTGTGCTCGTTGTCATAATCAGGAAATAACGGTAAAAATCCGTGGTCAATTCAGTGTATAAATAATGGACTAACAATTGGTATGAAAAACGTCAGTCAGCATTTCATTCAATGATAAATTGTATTTGCTGACAAGGTCATTGTATCGACCATAGAATTTACGAAATGATGACTTTAAACGAGACTGTTGATATTCTTGTTTCATCAACTTGCTTGTCAATAATTTGCCTCGTGTAAGAAATTGTTCATACGTAGAGCATGCTCTTGCGTATCGAATCAATTGAGATATAAATACTCCGTATGCAGGTGATCAAGGTATATTGCAGCATAAGTAAGGGAAGTTGACGATAGAAAAGTTAAAGTCATGACGTTTATCATATAACTTGGTTGTTAGATTACCATTAGTGTTTTTTTTCAAGTAAAATATCCAAGTATGAAGCAGAAGTGTCAGACTCTGTGGTATCTTTTATCTCAAGATCACCAGGATATACCGTGTCGACGTAGGAATGGAAATAATCATTATTAATTGACAATACGTCGTCGATTTATCTAAATGTCGAGTTGAAGGCCACAGCAAGTTTTTTCTTCTGATCATGTAAAAGATTTTGCAAAAATTCTGCTTCATATGAATATAAAAATAAGTCTGCTTATAACGGAGCACAATTTGTACTCATGGGAATTCCAATAGATTGTTGGAATACCTGGTCTCCGAAAACCACATATATATTGTCAATCAGAAACTCAAGCATCTTCTTGATGTCAACTTCAGAGTAATTATGTGTGCAATCAGAATCTGTTTTAACAAAATAATTTTTCAAATGACCAATGGCGAGGTAAGTAAACTTACGAGTTCCATTTTTGTTGAAGAAGCAGCTGTCAATGATATCAAAAAGCCTAGATTTTAATTTGTCGTGGGGAATTGTTGTGTATAAAGTTGAAAAGTCGTAAGTTTTTATGCTGTCGATTTTTGTAAAGTCTTGTGATATCAAATTGTCCAAAAGTTTTTTAGAATTTTTAAGTATCCACATCTGATTTACACCACTTCTTGAATGTATAGTTGTACAGTACTCTTGAAGTTTTTCTTTCACTACTGTCAATATTTTAGTGAGAAGTAACGAAAGAGGCTTGGTTGAACATTTACTGGAACATGCAATGTAACTTTGTTTGTAAGGATTCTTATGAAGTTTCGGAATCCAATATATATAAGG